TGTTTGTAAGTCCATTGTATTATTCTTTGATTCATCTAGTTCTTTTTCTATCATATATATTTTATTATTTATTTAGTACCTGTTGATGATTCAATTCTGTTACGATATATTATTGAAACATTGTTCATTATTCATGCTGAAACAAAATTAAATATAATATGTCCAATTGGTGGTGATCCTCAAAAACGTTATGGTTCACCTTATGATGAAAAATGGTATGATAATTTAAAACGTCCAGCAACTCCAACTCGAGAAACGATCGTTTCAGTAATTCAAATGACGAAAGAATATAATCAACGTCCATTTCACAATCCTCAACAATAAATCATACATGATGATGTTGTCTTTTTTTTTTCATTTTTCATTTTTCATTTTTAATGAACAATTTAGCTCTTTAGTGTTACAGTTTTATGTCAAAAAAATGTTTAGATCTTATGTATTACAGTGAGACATAGCTTGTTGTCTCTTCTAGATAAAAATTGAACGCTGTCAAATAAAACAAAAATAGCTGCACATTCAACCATGGACGACAATTATGATCCAAATAATGAAAGACTAGTAAAGCGCAATCGTTTTTTATTATTCTTAGTAAAATACACATCTTTTTTTTTCGTATTCATTTCTAGAATAACGATCACTTGTGTCTTGGCTTTGGTTCAATAGTTTCAACAATTGTACAGGTAAATTTTTGAAAGCCAAAGAAAATGGACAATTCTAGTTAAATATTCTATATTTAGAATGAGGAAGAAATAATCTTATCACAAAAAATGAATGAATTAATAACAACAATCGTACCAATAACAAACGAAGCGACTAAAATAAAAAATTCGTCAATATCAATGGATGAAACAATTCAAAAACGTCTTGAAAAAATTCCAATTTATTTAAGAAAAGAAAATAATACATTTCAATCCATCATCGATCAAGCGCTACATCTAATGTCGGTTTCAATATGGAAAGATGATATACAAGACGATTTAATACAGATAAGTATTCTTATTTACAAAATCAATCTACTATCAATATATCATTCATTATGGACAACCTATTGGAAATCTGGTCTTGGTCAATTGATTGAACAAACATCTGAACAAAGAAATTATGTCGTCTATTCAATGAATATTCCTATTTGGCCTAAAGAAATTAAACGAATAATAACATCAATGAAAGAAAAAAATGCCAATATTCATACAAGTCCAATGGACTTGGTTTGTTATCATCGACAAGAACTAGAAAAACAATTAAGACAGACACAAATTGAATGGAATGAAAAAGTCAATCATTTGTCTGGTTATAATTTAAAAGTTGAACAATTATTAGAAAATTATATAAAGGAGCATTTACATGAACTTCGACAAGAAATAGAACATAAAAAAAAACTTGTTACTTATGATTATCATACAGAAGCCATTAAACAAGAATTTCTTCGTCTAAATCCAACTGAATATCATGTATGTATACATTGTTGATTATAATTCTCGAAGAAATAATTAATTTCGTAGGTTTATGTACTATCTTTTTTTTTTTTTTAGAAAAAACTTATGAAACAATCATGTTTAAAAAAAAATGAAGAGAAAACAACTGAACGAGAATTACAATTCTTAGAAGAACGTATGAATCATTCTAATATATCGGAACTATCTTTAGAACCTTCAACTATCACTCCATCAAGTATCATCAATTTTATCGAAAATATTGAAATACGCCAACAATTATACAAACAATATAGGCATATTATCGAACAAGCTAAAGCTGATTTTTGTACATTAAGTTTAAAAACAGCTCAAGAACAACATCATAGAGCAAAATTAAACTATGATAATCAAGTTGCTAAAATGTTTAACCTTCATCATAATTCAAATAATATGACAACATTACCATTAAAAATGATCGATTTAATTATTGAACGTTGTCGAATCATAGGTGAACGCATTCAATTTGTTTATCAATATAAGATTGAATGTTTTCACTCGAAATCAAAGATAAAAGACGATCTTGACATTCAATAGAATATAGGTCTTTCTAGAATAGGCATTTGCTTTTTTTAGGTTTTTTTTTTCTTTTTTTTTGTTGAAAGATTTCATGTTTTTCCAATCTTTACAAAAAAAAACAAAATTCATTTCATTTTGTTTCTAGACTAGCCTTTCTTTTAATTTTAGATAATTTTGTTTTTCGCTTTGATTCCAACACGACATCCATATTAAATGATGAAAAATACATCAAAACCATTATGGGATCCACGATCATTATCACCAACGAATATTAACAATCAGCAACAGCAACAAGAAGGAAATACAATGATAAGAAATATATCAAATCATAAACGATGCCACGGTAATCGTAAATTACGACGTTTGAAAAACAAATGTCGTCAACGAGGTATGAATGAAGAAGATATTCAACGATTTATTCAAGAACGTCAGCAACAAGATGCTGAACAAAGAATTACTAAAACCAACAATATCGAACTTCCTCCACCGATCAAAACGACGACGACTGCAATAACAAAACAATCAATGATGAAACAAAAATCAGAAAAACGAAAACGTCTTACAACTTCACTTAGTGTACCATCCATAGTATCGCGAACATCGAAAAGAAAAAAAACCAGACGTGTGAAATTAAAAGTGTTAACAGAAAAATTCCATGGTCGACTTCCAACCTATTTGAAAAAAGCACCAAAGATACTTATGCAAAGTGTTAGTTTAGAATTACAACAGAAATTAAAAACTGTGAAACAAAAACGATTTCTTTATTATCGATTACAATTACTTGATCAGCACCACCGTATTGATCAATACCGATCTTTATGGCAGTCCTATTTAACTATCGGTTCTTCTTGTAATTTATGGCCTGTAAGTTGAACTGCACTATCATTATTGTAATCAAATTTGTAACGAGATAACAAATTTCTTTTACATTTAGATATTTTTACATAAAAAAATTAAATCAAAGAATAGTCAATCTTTTAAAGAATATATTCAACATCATTTGAATGAGCTTCAACAACAATATGATCAATGTATGAATGAATTGAATCAGCATGGTGAGTTATGTCCAAATGTATTTCAACCATTAGATATTCTCGATCGGAAACTCAACGACTTTGTTCAATTACAAAGAAGACGTTTTATCGAAAGATTGAATACTCGATTAGCTAGATATAAAACTTATATTGAAGAAAATAAATTTTATCAAGCTATGTTATATCACATTAAAACTCAAGAACAAGTAAATTCTATTCTAACTTATTTTATTTTATATCGATGAAATTGTTTTCTTTTTTTTTTTTTTTGTCTTTTTGATAGAAATCTATGATTGATCAATTGATATATATACGTGAGGAACAATTAAAAATATTTGAACACTATCTTCGTTTAGAAACACGTATATCATTTGAATGTTTACCTAATATACTCCATAGTATCGAAAATATGATTACATCCATTCGTTTTCAATCACGTCTTGACAATTTTCTTACTATTCAATATCAACAACAACGCTATAAACTTATACAAGAAGCTAAACGTAATTGTTTGAATATTTTCTTTCAAGCATATGAAATTCAATATCAGCATTATGAAAAACAATATCAAGAACTTTTCAAACAATTTGAATCAAATAATAAAACTACATCTGGTAGTCCGCTGTTGGAATGTTTTCTTATCTATTTGAATCATCGAATTCATCGATTGAAACAAGTTATTTATTATGAAAGAATACCTCTATTTCGAAGAAAACTTCGACTTCGAAATCAATATTGGAGAGAAAAAAAAAAATTTTGTAAACAAATTCAAGTTTCTCCACGTGTCATTCTTGATGTTCATCGAAATCCATTTACGACTACTGAATTAAAATATCTTGCAAGAGGTTTAATTTTAGATATTTTTTTTCTTTTTTCTTTTCTTTTCTTCCTTTTGTATCTTTCTCTTTTATTTTTATTTTTATTTGTAGGTCCAACTTATATAAGACCAAATCAAAGTACACTTCGATCCATGAAACAACGACACAAACAAATTCAAAATGAGATCAATGTTATATTAACAAAAATGAAGAACGGCTTAGCTAATATAACAAGAGATGGATATCCATCAATACCAATGACTGCATCCATTTATAAACTGTATGAAGAACGTCTTCAAACATGTTTTACTTTTCAATATATGAAATCATTACCATTTATTGAACAATTACGTGCGCGAAAAGAATTAAAATGGATTAAATCAATTCGACGAAAATTAAAAAGACATAAACTTATTCTTCGTCAAACAGATAAAAGTGGTGTATTTCATATTGGTCGCCTTTGTGATTATGAACGAAAAGCATATAATTATCGAAAAACAACCGGTGCATATGAAGTACTATCACAAAATCCATTAAATGATATCTTTTCTAGTGTAGTCAATTTACTAAATCAATTACGTTCTCAGAAAAGAATACTAGAACGACAAAAACAAAAATTGATACCTATTCAAAATAAAACTGAACTTGCTTATATGTATTTTTTACCAAAATCACATAAGGTAATTACTGACATTTTTTATATATTGAAATGTATATTTTACAATTCAATTATTTAGAAAGGAACACCACTTCGACCGATTATTAATACTATACATGCAGCAACAACACATATATCAAAATATTTAGATCAATCACTTCGTCCATTATTTGATCGATATGTTCGTTCGACAACACTTGTTGATGGTGTTGATCTTTTAAATCAACTTGATCAATATATAAAAAAAGGACATTTTAAATCATCAACATTGTTTATTACATTTGATATTACAAATCTTTATACAATGTTACCACAAGAAGAATCACTTGAAATTCTTGTTGAATTTCTTCGTCAACATCATTATCATCGAATTCATGGTATGTCAATTGAAACAATTATTGAATTAGCTCGTCTTGTTTTACAAGCAAATGCTTTTGTCTATGGTAAAAAATTTTATCGACAAATTATTGGCGGTGCTATGGGTTCACCATTTACTTTAACATTAGCGAATATTTTTATGTGGAATTGGGAACGACAAACTATTCTTCCAAAATTACCTTCCTATGAATTGTATGGTCGGTGAGTATCTTTTCTTTCAGTTCTAAATTTAAAAAACAAATATTCTTTCTATTTTTTTTTTTTTTGATTTCTTTATTCTTAGCTATATTGATGATGTCTTCTTTACATCAAACGAAAATGAAACAACAATTAAAGAATGGTTAGATTCTATTAATCAATTTCATCCAAATATTAAATTAACTTATACAATTAGTCAATGTTTACCATTTCTTGATGTTCTGCTACAGAATCAAAATGGTACATTACATACATCTGTTTATCATAAACCAGCTGCTGAACCAACTCTGTTATCCTATGTTTCTGATCATCCTCGACATATTTTTCGTAATGCTATTCAAACAGCACTCATACGAGCAATACGATATTCTTCCACACTTGAAGCATTCAATTTTGAAAGACGTACCATTCGTTTAACTTTATTATATAATAAGTGAGAAAAAAATTTCCTTCGGCATGAATTCGAATCTCCTATTTAATAAAGTTCATATTTTATTAATAATTTTTTATTTTATGATTTAAGATATCCATCAATCTACATCAATGAACAGTTCCAACAATTTTTTCTGAAATATTTATCTACAACTTCAGCAATTCTACCATTGATTGATAATGAAGAACAATATGTGATATTACGTAAAAATTTATTAGCACAACCATCAATTAAACAAATTCTGATTGATAAAAGTGCTGCTACTGTTGAAAATATTATACAAGATCAAAATATTCAAGGCTATGAAGGGACAACAAACGAAAAATATAATAAATTTCGAAACAAGCTATTTATTCATTGTCTACATGAAGGACGATTCCGAGATATACAACGACAAATACATGAGATTCATGATAGTTTCTTCAAGAATACATTTTATCAAGATATTCGATTAATAGTGGGTCATCGCAATAATCCAAATATCGAATTTGAATTAACAAGAAAACGGCCATCGTCGTGGTTATTGAAAAATGAACCACAACAAAAAAAGTATTTCTTTTAGTTTGTTATTTTCAAACGATTTTGTCTCAATAATTTTTTTTTTAAATTTATTTAGAACAAAAATTTTAAAAATCAACTTCAAAAACTAAACTATTGACAAAGTTTCTGAATTTTGTTACTTTCCTTTTTCATTTAGGTTTTTTTTTTTTGTTTTTCTCTATATGTTTCATAAATAGAAAGCGATGGATCTTTATATTTCATTCTAGATATTATCATTTGTTTTCTATTTTCTACATCAGCTTACGTACAATATTTTATATACAATAAGGAAATCATGTCGAATATATTTCAAGACATTTCAAATCGTGGTATTCTTCCACTTACTAAAGAATATAAGCAGTGGCTCAATGAATCATGTGATACAATAGGAAAAATTTTACCATTTCAAGGAATAAAATATTGGTAAAAAAAAAAACAGTTTAAATTAACATAAAAATTTAAAAAACTAAAATATTTTTTCTTTTCTAGTCAACAAAACGATTCGTGTCAATGTAAGACATGCAAGAAAGATCGAATACTTGAATGGCCTTACGAACGTTCCTTATCGGCTAATCTTTTATACTTAACCGGAATTAAATTGGATGATATTAATTATCTCGAAGTAACAACATTTGAAGAAACTCTCATCTCTAAATATCTCAGAAACATTACAGAATTTTGGAAATATGTTACAGAAGTATGCTTATTAGGTGGTGACTACGGTACCGAAACATTGGCAGCATTTAATAATGGAAAATTTGATAAAAAAGTTATTAATCAACGCTATCAAAATGTTCCATGTATTAACAAACTACATATGAAACGAAACAAAAAAATAATTAAACATTGTAAAAAATACTTTCCCGTTTTACAAGAAGCTTTCTCATCTTTGAAATTAATTTGAATTCATATAAAATTTCTTTAATTCATTTTTGTTGCTTGTTTTATTTGTACTTATATCTTTGTTAAAACCATGAATAACTGGTTGTTATCTTTGTTCTAGATATGTCTCTGCAAAAACTACATTTCAACTGATACCCACCTGCAATAAAAAAATTTAACCCAAAAAATTCAATATAAACCATGAAGATTAATCATAGCATGGAAAATAAAAAACATCATTAGAAGTTATCTTTAGAATTATTTAATATTCGTAACAATTTTTAACAATACATTGATCTTTTTACTTTTCGAACGAAACTAATATCAATCGACCTAGATAAGATTCTTATTTAGAATCTTATGAAATTTCGGAAAGCTCAATAAAACTATCTTTTGAATTATTTTACTTACTACATTTATAAGAAGAATGCTTTTTTTTTCCTAAAATTACTCTTTTCGTATATAGATCGTATGGTTTTAATTGCAGTTTTATTTTCAAAAATTTTCTCTATCTTTATTCCTATATTGAACTCCATGTCAACTGATTCTTTAATAGAATCGATAGAATTCTAAAAACTATAGATATCTTATTGTAGTTAGACTATTGATTTTCACTTTTAATAAAATGATCAAAAATCATTTCTACAAATTATTTTCTACTCTCTAATGTTTATTTTAGATTATAAGAACTTCAAATTTTATTACGATTAAAACTTCTACTAATAATCAACAAGAATCAAACATCATGAATAAGACTTTAAATGAAAATGAATCAGGTCAAAAAAGAAACAATCTTAAAAAAAAATCTCGAAAATTTTTTCAACGTACAAAATTTTTTGGTAATCATCTTTATCAATCAAGATTCAATAAGGCCACAAATGATACTCATACATTTTCAACATGGGAATCATTTATATTCAAGAAAAGTGATATGCAATCACATATTCGATCAAATGTAGATCCAACTTTGTATTTATATGATTATTTGCTTGTGTCTAATGATATTTTTAAAGAAAAATTCTTACAATCACTAATGGATGAATATGAACGACAACGTTGGAATCAATTATTTATTAATGAAGAAATTTTAACATTTACTCGAAACTTAACTCAATATAAAAATAAATTAAGTTACTTAAATTTACAATATGAACAATGGACCTATTATCATCAACTTGGAATAAAAGAAAGAATTTGGAATGGTCGTGTTTCAAAGAAAATGGCTATGGTCAACTCAATGTGTGTAAGTTATGGTCGTTCGAAAGCATTAATTCGACAGCGCCAAAATTATTATCAAAATGAAATCATCCAATGTAAGCAACAAATTGAAGATTATGAAAAACAAATGCCAATATCAGTTGATTTGAAAAAAATGACAACTCTTATTTTGCACTTTATTAAAAAAGAACAATATCCATTATGTCTCGCCTTGGAACAACAGCGGCATATGTTAAAATTTGATGCTGAAGATCACCGATCAGTAGAAAAATTCTATCAACTAAATCCAAGAAAAACTGACGTACGTAGCTATATATATTCATTAACTTTTAATGAACTCTCAAATAACTTCCATGTATTTTATATTTATATATGATAGATCGCTTCAGCAAAAACAATATGGAAGGCTACGGATTATGTGCAATTATTACAACATGAACTTAGTCTTTTCAAGAAATGGATATCACTTCCAGCAGCATCAAGGACAATGCCTCATCTTATGGAATTAGGCCTCACTAAAGTGAATGAATTTTTTACATTAACTCTTACCAACAAAGTACTATTGAACGTAATATCAACAAAAAATAACGAAGAAAATCCATCGAAACAAATGGTATGTGAAACAATAGACGAAGCTGTTATTATAATTGAAAAAACTATTAAAACATTTACTCAAATTGCAATTGACGAAAAAACGAAACTTATCATACAAAACGCTAAATTCGACAGATTACCAACAGTCCAAAATGTGATCGATGCAATTGATAATCGCCAACAAAATATGATTCAACGTGCTCAATATCATATGGAACAAACAATAATGATAAAATTTCCAGAAAACTTATGAATACCAACCAAAACAAAGACTAAAACATTCAATTCTAAAAAAAAACATGAACACTTTTTTAAAATCGAACTGTTCCATATCGTTCTAGTTTAAACCTCGATAATAAAGAATACGCTGTACCAATATAGAAATTTCTCATCATTCATATACAAAATATTTCTATTTTTCATCCATGTCGTACTTCATTTGAACCTAACCATAATAATTCTTTTGAAAAGAATAGAAACAAACAATTCACTGAATATATATATGGTGGTTATTTGACACACTCTTTAAAAATTTAGTTTTCAAGTTTTTTTCTTGCAAATTTTATTTTTTGAATTTAGTTTTTTGATCCTTGGATCAGAACTTTATTCATCATTGCCCC